TATAACACCTTTCAAAAATTATTAAAAAAAATTGTATGAATTATTTTTATGTCCATACAAAAATAATAGTAATTGAGAATTAGTATCAATAAGAAAACTAAAGGGGAAGATTTAATTATATATCCTGAACTGCTATAGCGCCTTTTGGTTTGGTGAAAACCAATTGAATTTTGATTGCTTGACGTTTGTTTACAGTACAACCATTAAGGAATGCTATTGCATTTATTTGTGTGCGAAGTATTTGGTGATCGGATTGAAATCGTATGTTTGCACTTTTTGGCTGTTTTGCTTTATATGTACTCTGTTATAACAAATTACTTCTATGTTCTGCTATATACGTTCGATAGGTATATGCGAATTAATTAAGCCTTATTAAAGGGTTTTCCTATTTTGTGGTCCTCATTTGTTATAATGATATATGTCAACATAAACGTATAATATGTGTTTAGTTTTACTTACGCATTCAGTCATCACTAGGCATTATTTTTCTGTTACTCAAATAATAGTGTTTATGTGGACAATCCTCGAAGTTCTGCAATTAAACATCAGTTCGGTTAAGATATTGCCAGCTATATACCCACAAGTCTTGAAAAATTACTTTAAAAATATTTGTTAGTACAATATCTCCCGAGGGGGAACTTTAATGATGTTGTGTTTCACACCTAATGGCAAGATCTCAACAATATATTATTATAAAAATTTAAGATCTTCATCACAAGTATATTTCAGTTACGTTTAGTTTTGAAACCTTAAAAAGGATAACTCTGTATTAACGCAACATAAAAAATTGTTAACAGTTCAGTTGAATAGATACATATTTAAATAGATAAATAAATATATACATATATCTCCAAGTAGACATTTCAAATTTAAATTTTATACATTTTATAATTTTGTTTTACAATATTATTCAATTAATTTGCACTCAGTTAAAGCTTTAAATAAACTTCTGTCCAGCAGTATTTTCTTTCACCTTAACCATATTTAATCATATTATCGTTCACTGTACCTACAAAATATATCTTCTGTGTTTTTTGTTTTGTGTGTTTTGTTGAATGTGTATATCATAAGCTCAATTTCTCCTTTTGTTAACAAACAAAAAAAAAACATAATAATAAATAAAAAATACAATAAAATAAAAAAATAAAATAAAAACTATTAGCATACAAACTATACTTAAACTCTATGTTCGATCACAGGTTTTCGTTTAAAATTAATTTATTTTCGATGCTGCTTCCCGTTTAATTAATCGCAAATCATTCATATTTGCAAGGCAATTTACTATTTTTGTTTATGCAGTTTTAAGTCTTTGTGTTTAAAATTTGTGTTTTTGTTGTTGTTACTGTGGATATTGTTGCTATCATATTGTTGTTCCGACGACCTCCAACATATTTTGATTAATTTGACGAATGTGTTATGAATTTTTCTTATGGCTTGTCGATGCCTGTCTTTCTTATAATAATAATTTACACTTTTCCATAAATCATCGAATACAGGCAAGTAATTAAAAACATTTTCTTCCTCATTCTTCTCAGTTCTTTCCTGACTATTTCTATATTCCCTAATTTCATTAAATTGTCCAATGCTTATATTGGTTGTTGATGTTGTACATTTATATCGTCTATCTTCTTTCACATTAACATTAGTTAGACAATTGGAGTCAGCAGCACTCCACTGGGTTGCGTAGCTATGCTCAAGCGTACTTAACTTGTACATACAATTATCATCACAGACATTATCAATTGCTATTTGAGTTTCAGTATCCTTGCCACATTTATTCTGGCCTCCATTCATGTTAATTAGTTTTTGTCACCGTTGCGTTGGTAATAATACCTCGAACCAACATGGGCAGTTTGTTACATCCTGACGTTTGTATTTATCACCCCAACCTTTGCCAAAACTTATTTGCATACCGTATGGATCCTTAGGTCCTAATTGAGCACCAGGAAAATGCGAGGGATATTTAAGTGTTTGAGCCCTGAAATACAAATAATTTATAGTTAAAACATTTTATTTTCAATCAGATTTGAGAACACAATGCACATACCTTTCACTGTCGAAGGCTTTAAGGCAGTACCCAGGCAATATTTTACAAACACAATGCCAATTTTCGCTTAAGGTTGGAGAATTTACAAATATTGGTAACATTGAACGATTATACAACCAAATGCTGCCATTTTCCTTACTTAATGTTACACCTGGAATATAAGAGAATATTCAGAATGAAAAACTACATTTATTTAAAAAAAACTTATTACTATCTTAACGAAACCTAATGATATATTATATAAAATAATTCAGATCTAGCTATAGAAACATTTTAATTGTGCCAAATAAAGGTAAATTAAAGAGTGAATCTATGTGATCTAGGTTCTTTCGTAAATTTTCTTTTTCTATTCGCGTTCTGTAGTAACGCGTATTAATGATTCAAGACCGACTTACAAGACTTTAATGAATTTATTTGCTTTGATACTTTTATGAGACCTACGATATCGTTTTTGATTGTTTTCAGTGATTGTAAAAAAACTGGATTTCTCAAGAACTCTTGGCCCTACTCTTGCCAAAGCTGGATATCTTTACATTAGATAAGCCACACC